CAAATTTAGTTAAAATAGAAATTAGGATTTATTAAAAACTGACATTTTTTAAAAATCAGAATTGTTTCCATTGGTTTTGATTATCGTTATTTTAAAGCTAGGATTGAAAAAAGTCACGATCTGAAGCACAAAAAAAGTTTGGAAAAACATAAATTGAACAAGATCTTGAAATAATTAACTATCTTTGTTTAAACCGCCACCGTTGCTTTGGATACCTAATAAATAATTATATAATTTGAATAATATGAATAATTTATGACTAATTTTTACAAATTTAAATAATCATTAGTTTGAAAATTCAGCAATTTTTCCGATTGTATTTATTTTTGAATAATGGATAAATTCATTCAAAAACTTCCTAAAAAGGTTTTTGTAAAAGAATCCTCTGCTTCTGCATCTGTTGATGAGAAATGTGATATTATAATTTCCGCAAATATAACGTCTGCTGAAAAAAGATTAGGTGATGAAATTATAAACGACGTTCCAAAAAAATCAGCTAAGCAAACCGTTGGAAGACAATTTCAGAATTCATGGCTAAAGCTATACGGCTGGTTGGAGTCGATGACTTACAATAACAATAGCAACGCGACAAGAGCATTTTGCAAAATATGCAAAGAATGTGAAAAGCTGAATTTGTTTAAATTTAGTACAAAGCGTGACATGTGTTTTATAGATGAAGGTTTTTCAAATTGGAAACACGCTTTAGAGAGATTCCAATCCCACGACAAATCTTGCAGCCACCGCGAAGCAGTCATGAAAATGTCTCACCTACGATCAGGAACAAATGTTGCTGGACACTTAGTTACAGCTCATGAAAAACAACGAACTTTAGCAAAGACCGCGATGTTTAAAATTATAACCACTTTACAATATTTGTCTGTTCAAAATATCGCTATACGCTCTCATGACGATGATGATTCAAATTTTCACTGTCTTTTACGTCTGCGTGCAGAAGATAGTCCTGAATTACAGCAATGGCTTGAACAAACATCCTATCAATGGACTTCAAAAGATATTCAAAATGAATTGTTGGAAATTATGTCACACAGCGTTCTCAGATCTGTTATAAGTGATATTCATTTGAGAAAGTATTACGCCATACTTTTAGACGAAACTTGTGACATTGCAATTAAAGAACAAGTCAGCATTTGCTTAAGAGTTGTTGATAATGAATTTACTCCAGAAGAATATTTCCTAGGATTTTATAACACGGACGCCACAGATGCTGGTACATTGTTCAACATTTTGAAGGATGTTTTATTAAGGTTCAATTTTGATATCAGAGATTGTCGAGGACAATGTTATGACGGAGCATCTAACGTTTCTGGAATTCATAATGGAGTACAGGCCAAAGTCTTAGAAATATCGCCGTCTGCATTATTTGTCCATTGCAACAACCACAATATTAGTTTGGCATTTCAAGATGCAATTTCTGTGATGTTAGAGTGCAGAGATGCAATCCATTTTGTAAAAGAACTTGTGACGTTTGTCAAAGAATCTCCTAAACGTTTAGCTTGTTTTTCCTTTTTTCAACAAAGTAATGCTTCAACTACATCATTGCGCCCATTATGTCCAACAAGGTGGACTATGCGTATATGTAGCATCAAGAACGCGTTAAACAACTGGACATCTTTGCTAAACTTTTTCGAAAATCAAAGTTCTGTCAGAAATGAATATGGCGCCAAATGTGCTGGTTTTCTCACAAAAATGACATCTTTTCATAATTATTTTGTGTTGCGCTGTTTGGTTCTCATATACGATAAATTTGAAACTACGTCGAAAGTTTTGCAGTGTCCAACGCTGTCTATGTCAAAAGTTCGTAAACTCGTAGAAAATCTAATGTTATCGCTTCATCAGAACCGATCCGATGAAACCTTTTCGTCTTTTTGGTTAAATACCACTAATGATGCAAAAATATTAAATATTGAAGATCCAAGTTTGCCACGGCAGCGAAATCGTCCGAAGCGTTTTACTGATAATAACGAAAATGTTCATGTATTTGACACTTCGCAATTATTTTTTAAAAAATGTATTAGAGATCGAG